TTACAGGTCACATGGTGTAACATGAACTGAACAGACTTTAAACAGTCTAGGATATCCTAAATACCAAGTAGGGTATACACACTTGGAAGATTTAGCATAGTTAAGATGTCAGTTCTTCTTAAACTGATGCATAGAATTAAAGCAATTCCAGTCAAATATACCCAGGATTTGTTATAGATAGAAACAAGCTGTTTCTAAAATGTAGATGGAAAGACAAAGGAACTGAAACAACCTAGTCAAATTTCAGAAAAGACACACTAGAGCTTATGAAGTCTTGGGTTTGGATTCTAGTAAAGCACAAATGCTGATTCATAGTGCCTTATTTTAAGGCATACTATAAAGTTACAGCAATTAAAACATGGATGGACATAGGTCAAAGAAACAAAATAGATGGTCTAGAAAAATGAACTATACAAAAAGAGTCAATAAGCAATACTTCACTTTTTAATAATTTTAATGAGATACAGTTTACATAACATAATTTATCCACTTAAGTGTATAACTTAAGGTTTTATATATATATACATGTGCCTGGGGCTATGCAGGCATCATTACACATGCACATTTTCACATTCACAGCCCTAAGCAGTTCACTGTTTGTTCTTCCTCTTATCTTCCTATCCCTATACTAACTCACTTCCTATCTTATAAATCTGTCATACTAAACACTGCACAGAAAGGAATGGGGTCTGTGTATATGGTTTCTCTCCTTTGGAAGAATACTTTCAAGACATGTTCCTTTCATAATACTTTCATAGTACTTTTCATAGCATTTACCATAATACTTTCAAGACATATCAAACTGCATTCTACTTCATGGAAACAATCCATTTTCTCTATTTCTTAGCTGATACTTGATTTGTTTCCACTTTAAGATACTATGGATAATGCTGTCACTAGGGTCTGCAGTGTTTTTGTGTGGTTGTACATATTTATTTCATTTGCATGCAATACTATCTCTGCTAAACCCTGTGGTAATGCAGTGCTGAAAAATTTTTGAAAAGTTCTAATTTTCTAATATATACCAGTTTATATTCTCGCTAGTAGCATACGAAGGTTCTAAATTTTCCACATTTTTGTTACTATATGTTTTTTTTATTCTAACCATCCTGGTAGAGCACTTCCAGTGTCTTCAAGCTGCTAATTTATTTTGACAAGGTACAAAGTCACTTATGGAGAAAGGATGTTATTTTCAAATACAATGTTAAAACAATTCTGCACTCAGTCATAAGAAAAGTGAACCTTGACTTAAATCACATACCTAAAGCAAAATTAACTTAAAACATGAGCAAAGCCATAGGTACTAAAGGTAGGTGAAGAGCTCTTAGGTATGATAGCAAAGACAGAACCTAAGAGAGAAAAGCAACAACTGGACTTCAAAATTAAAAACTGGTCTGGAAAAACACCATCAACAAAGAACAAAAAGGTAAGATATAGACAAAAAAAAAGCAAATCATATATTCCAAACAAGATACATATTCAACATGTATAAAAAAACTCTCAAAACCTTTTCAAGCTTTGGAAAAACACAATTTCTTGGGGGTGATTAAAAGCACTTGCTGTTCTTCCAGAGTAACCAGGCTTGATTCCCAGCACCCGCATGGAAGCTCCAACTCTATGCGACTTCTGGCCTCTGTGGTAATGGCCCATATGTTGTATATACAGATTTACATGCAAGAAATACTTATATAGATGAAAAAAATCAATCTAAAAAAATTTAATAAATTAAAAAAAACACAAACAACCCGAATTTTTAAAAGTGGCTAAAATCTTTACCAGATAAGAGGCTACAGACTGTAGATGACCTCACCCATCAAACTCAGTATCACCAGTCACTAAGGAGATGCAACTCCAACTCCTTTTTATCTCTCAAGTAGCTAGAAGGACACAAAAGCTATGGAGCTCTCACCACTGTCAGTAAAGAGGGAAAGGTGGAGATGAAAAGGGTCTGCTGTTTCCTTCTGTCCTACACAAACATTCTGGGAAAGTCTGGTAATTTCTGAAAACCTGAACACATAACTCACTATGGGACCCAGCACAACAAGGAAGAGCTGTGTGCAGGTGAGAGTCTACGGATGGCATTCTCCAGCAACTCCATTTACACATGCTCCAAGTCTCTTTCCAAAGCACTGAGAAGAAAACCTATGCATGAATATCGGAGGCTACTTGGCAACAAAACTAAATGAAGAACTCTGATACAAACAATTCAAAGCATTAGAGCAGGCGAAAAAGCCAATCTCCAAAGAGACAGGAATCCATTACAAAACATTCTAGAAAAATGTAAATTAACAGCAAAGGAGAATAAATCAGTGATTGCCAAACCTTAAAAACTGGCATGGGGGGGCTGGAGAAATAGTTCAGAGGTTGAGAGCGCTGGCTGCTATTCCAGAGGACCTGAGTTCGGTTCCCAGCAACCACATGGTGGCTCACAACCATCTGTGATGAGATCTGGTGCCCTCTTTCTGGCATGTGGGCACACATGCCAACAGCACATTGTATGCATAATAAATAAATAAATCTTTAAAAAAAAAAGAAACTGGCATAGGGTGAGTGCATATGCAAGTGAGCATGAGGGAGCATGCAGTATGATCCTGATGCATCCTGACTCCAGTGTGTTCTATGTACACTCATAGTGGTGATGTACAGGTCATAACTCACAGAATAGCATACCAAACAAAATTCTAAAAGAATATGAAAAGATGGTATGTTCCTATCAAATGGCAAAAAATTAAGGCACAAAGGGAGGGTGCTGAACTTGTCCTCTTCCCACCGCCACTGTCTCTGAGCTGTGACTGTCAAGTCCACTTTACTACTCACTATGACTACCTTCTCAGGTGTGGGGGGGGGGGACAAAAACTGAAGAGCCACCCAGCCTCAATCCATCAAGTGATGGGATCACATGCCTGTATCAAGAGGACAAGCTGTAACTTCCATATGCCAAGACCTCTGTCCAAACCTTGCTATTACCTGGTCAACAATGAAGCAGCTGATTGTATGTTTAACATTTCTTTTGCTTTAAAAAAAAACGGGGTAGTAGTCCCACTCACCTACAGTCCTGCATCACAATTCCAGCTACCCACCACCAAATATGAAATGAAAAACTCCAGAAATTAACAATTCATAAATGTTAAATTGCATGCAGGCCGAGAGGCGTGTTGAAATCTCATACTAAGCAGGCCACCCAAGCCACCAAGCCTCCCTCTATACAGAACACTCAGTTGTCACCCAGCCTGCTTTGTTATCAGCTAAAATGGCACGGGATAGCTTTGTTAAAGCACGCTTGTTTTAATAATGACTCAGAATATAAGAATAGTGATGCCACATAGTGGAAAGGCCACAGAGGATCCATAAAGAGATTCAGTTAAGAAAATAGATGTTTCCCCTTTAAATATGGAAGAAAAAGAATGATATGCTAAAGTTGCTAAGATCTATAAGTGAAACTGCAAAGAAAAAGAAACCCACATTGTTCCAGAGCCACACCTCCAACTGAGCAAACTGCATCCACACTCAGGCTAAAAGCCTAGTTAAGATGGAAGGTTTCCAGTGGGGAGGACCTGCATCAGTCACCAGGGACTGGATCACATGCACTTTTATTATTAAGTGTCAAGTTTAGCAATACACCTAAACATTTTCTTCAGCTATTATAAATTACCCTAAAACTGTGGATAAAAAAACCTCTGAATCCTCTTATTCTATTAGATGCTACGCAGTTAAATATGTGCCCTGACAATTAGATAAATATCTATCCTATGTCACATAATCAGTCACTTTCCAAACTTATATGGAACTGGGAAGTGATTTATCAAAAAAAAAAAAATGTTTCTTTCTTCTAGAGCTCCAGTCTATCAATCATTAACTGATATTGAAGATTTCTTCACTGATTTGAAAATCAAAGTGAACAAGCTTTTCCACACTCCAAGTTGACTTTCTATGAGCAGAGACACCAGTCAACAAGCCAAGCCTCAGAGTGAGAAAAGCATCCCCCTAAGAGCCATGCCCACCACCTATCTAGTGGACGTAACTAACTTTAACGTAGTGAAACCCAAAGACTATCAACTGACAGAAATTATATATAGGTCCAACAATAGGATTCTGGTTAGTGTCATAAAAGATCAAAATATAAACCAATTACAAACTTGGACTTGATTTGCAATTAGTCTCCAACCATACTTTCCAGAATTTTACAGAATAAATGAGTTATCCAACTAATATGCACTCCTGGGTAAGTGAAATTATTTCCGCTTTAGAAAAAGTCAGCTGTATTTGGTGTGACCTCACTTATACAGATGGTCCTCCAAAATTCCTCTTCAAACATACATTTACTAGAAGGTTGAAAGCAGAATGATATATCAATCATATATTTATTTATATAAGCTATTATAAAAATAAGAACAGATTAGAAATTAAATAAGTCTACTGTCAGAATGCAACCAAGCCAGAGCTCAAAGGCCATCTGTCCAAGTACGCATAATAGAACAAGAAACTGGGCAAGCAAAAGCAAAATAGCCTTACAAGATAAGGCAAGATCTCAAGCTACCTACAAGATGCTCTCCACATCTGGTCTCTTCAATAAAATAAAAATGAGATTTCCTACAAACCAAAAGCATGTTTAAAACTTCCTAACTTTTACAGAAAGGAATTTCTCTGATTTCATGACAAAGAAAATAAATTTCTCCTGTGTCCCAAAAGTATTAAGAGCAGAGGACACGCTAATCACAAGTATAAAATATCCCCAACCTGTCTCAAGGTCTATCCACAGAACAATGCAACGCCTGTGGTTCACACAGCATACCTTCAGAAACAAGGCAAGTGGGAAGGACTTCCAATCTGCATTATTTCATCCTCTACTCACAGACAATGCTTTCCCTGAGATTATCTATAATCCAGAACAGAACAGTCTGGACTAGCAAATCTGAAAATTATTGGGTCACGGTTCCCAGCTCTGGAGCCTGTGAACAGACGCAAACATAACAGAGAACATTTTCACAAGAGGTACCTACGTTCTTTCCGGTGCTCAACTAAACCCACAGCCTGCTTTGCAGAGCACTTTGCAAACCAGTTGTCCCCAAGTAAAACAGTAACTTCATTAGTGTGGACAAGTCTTCCCGGCATGAAGGCAAGAGGGCCAAATGGTACCTATTAGTCAAAAAAGAAAGAGAAAAGAAAAATTTTAAACATACATTTTAAAAATAATTAGCATAAGAAATCCTACATTACTGAATTCTTACCTAGTCACTGAGAAAAATAAAATGTCAATTTCACAGAAATTTAACATTATATTGAAATTTTACCAAGAAAATTTATGGAAAATTGTATTAGACTGATAAATCCATGTTAAAACAGGAAAATAAATCCACAGCATATTTCCATGACAGCTATTAGAGAAAGTAGTGCTGTCTCTGAATGATTATACATTTCATTAATTCTAAAGTCTAAATGAAACCAAAATAGTAATGAAAACTACTGCCAGTATAACTAAAACTATGGTAACTACAGCTATGTTTTTAAGGGAGGAATTAACAGTTTTATTGCATCTACCTACCCACACTTAATCTAGTACAACAGAATAAATCCTCATAAAGCACACTGGTACAATGGAGGCTGCAGCCAAAGGCTCAGGACCAACTATATGACATGAGGAAGGTCATTCAAAAAGAAACTAGTAGCACCTCTCATGTTAAAATATATAAGTAAATGTCTGGTTTTATTTCTGTGAGTTACCAGACATTATGGCTTGTTCTTACTCTGGATAACAGAAAATAACTGAATGTCATATTCCTATCATAACTGGAATTTATATATAAAAATATATTTGCATGTCAAACCTGTCAGATTTTTGCTAATATGCCATTATATCACAATAATTATATACAAACTATTATTTTTGTTCTAAGGCCTAACAAAGCAAACCTTGCTCGTTACTGTCACCTCTGACAGTTTGTGAACGGACATACACAGCAGGGCATATCCTATCATTTTGCCATTAGACTGTCTTCAACATACATTATGTGACTCTAAAAGGAACACAGCGAGCATACCATGACGTCGTAGGACAACTTGTCAGGCAAGGTCCTCAGTCTTTCTTGAAGAGCACTATAGTCATCGTCTACTTTCTCCCTGATGAGGAAAACACCAGACACAAAATGAGCACACAAACCAGCAGCAGCCAACAGTCTTGGCTTTGTCCAGCAGTTTACACCACTATAAAACGAGTTCAGGAGTCCATCGATGGCATTGTTCACCTATAAATTCACTCAGAAATAAAATTCAGTCTGAAACAGAACATTCTTATCTTGAGAATTAGTTTCATTAGTAGAAGATGACCTACTCTAAATAAAATGCAAAAATTAAGGAAATGCAAGAGAGGGAGCCAGGAACTCAAACTGAGAAGAAACATCATATAGCTTCTGAGTGAATAACAGATTACAATAGAGACTGTGAGTACAAGACAGCACCAGGTAGTCCTTCATCCTACCTGAAGGTAGGCCCTTCAGTCCTCATCAGAAAAGTTAAGCTGAAAGACCTGGTGACATCAACTCTTCAACTAGTCATACAAATGCAAATAAGGTAAAAAATCTGACCAAGGACAGAAAAAAATTAGGCAGCAGTAATGTAGAAAGTATTTCAATTAGTGTCTGAAATCTGTTTCACGGTCTATCAAAACAGAGCTATTAGCCAGGCATGGTGCCAACATGCCTGTGACCCCAACACTAGGAAGTAAGAGGCAGGAGAAAGATCAGAAGTTCTAGGTCATTCTTGTCTATATAGTGAGTTCAAAGCCAACCTGCTGGATTACATAAGATTCTGACTCAACGAAAATAAGGAGAAGGGGGGTAGGACATCTATCTAAACAATCCTAAGATTTGACTCAATGTAACTCTATTGGAGCAGAGAACAGCATATGTCTAAACTGCTCCTCCACAGGGCTTCAATCACCCCTCTTCCTAAGACCAAGCACTCACCTACGCTGAGATGACAGTTCTTTGGAGGCAAAGTTACCTAAGGACTCTTTGCTAAAATGGAAGCTACACATACATCTAGAGTACTGAACTATTCTGACTATTCTGTTATAAGATGGCAAAAACAATAAGCTCATCAAGTAGGCAAGTAATTTAAATGAACACTGTCAGACTAAAATTTATCCTAAGTATCATGTAGGTAATCACCTAGATAACAAAAATGACTCTACTACAAGTAATGGAATTGGCATCAGTTTACTTCTTAGCTCCACTACAGCAGTAGTAGCATAGCTAATAAATATTATCCACTCAGTCTTAAGGTTTGGGGAATTTCACATGTTACTATTTATCCTGAAAATACTACTACAGGAATGTCACTCAACATTTTTTTCTTATACAAGATAACACAAAGAAAACAGAAAATCAACACTGGAGAAAGCCAGATCGCCTCTGTTCTGTTGAGGTAGACATCCTCGCTCTTCATCTTATTCCCTCATACAAAATCTCCTTTTCCAATGTTCTGTATAAACTCTCCCACAAATTCTTATCCATAAACAACACAAAATGTCTATCATGGTATTTCTTTTGTGCATGTATGTGTGAGGGAGTCCATGGGCACATGCATAAGCTGGAGATAACATTGGGAGTCTTCTGCAATCATTTTCCACCTTACATCTGAGACAAGATCTCACCAATTCGGCTAGAATGACTGGCTAGCAAGCTCCAGGAATCTTCCTGTCTTTGCCTTCCCAGCACTGGGGTTATTATTACACAACCATCTTCTCTATGTGGTGCTGGAAATCAGAATTCAGGTCTTCCTGATTGTACAGCAAGCACTTTACTGACAACCATCTTCCTAGACCCTATTATTGTCTTTCATAAGGAAATAAATTATACTTTTGGTACATTTTTATATGACAAAATGGCAAAATCATTCATGCATGGGACTATGTACCAGGACCATGGTCCATGGCTTTAAAGTCAAACCAAAGAGTGAATCCCAGCTCTCCAACTTCACTTACACAAACTAACTAACCTTGGCCTTAGCTTCTTCTTCCATGTTAAAACTGGAAAAATGCCTATTCACAGGTTCAAGAGCATAAAGCATAATTTTCAGAAAAGATTATTAAGTACTAAGGTAAGATCCCACTTAACAGTCATTCAACTGGATAGTGTGACTTACTGAACAATAACAGGATAGCTGAATGTCAGCATTCAGAGGCTTTGGAAACAGGGTCAATATGAGCAACAAAGAGGATGATGTGATACAGTGCCAACATATCACAGACGCTCATTAATCTATGGAATACTAACAGCCCCTGTGATTCAGACTGAGAATGTGTAAAAGCTCAAGGACTATCCATCCACTATCTAATGCTTTTGATTAGGTCCAATTAAAGTTAGCATTCAACATGTCTTACATTGGTAATCATACCTAGAAAAGGGGACTTTAAAAAAGAAATCTCATGTGCCCTCAGAGAACAGAAAGTTCAACCAAGGTAATATCAGCAATCAGTATTTCCAAATGAACACTCAGCTTTAACCTTCATTAATAATTCTCTCTAGAACAAAAATGTGAACAAATTAAAGAGCAGTTTAAGATTAGAGTTGCTATTTCTACATTTTTAGTTATTTTCTAATGACAGAAAAAGAAAGTGAAAGATGATTTAAAATACAGCAATGTAGAAATACTTTTTGAAGGAAGACCAGCTATGTATCTTGAAGAAATCCCTGAAGATCATTATGGTCAAAATGTTCAGAACCAAGCACTTAACCAAAACACGAACTCCACAGCCCTCTAATACACAAGACTAATAGTCCCTTTAAAACATCACGAGCCTATGCAGCAGCAAAGATCATCTCTCTGTGTTGAACTCATCTCACATTCATGTCTGTGTATGTATATATACACATATATATTTTTTAATTAGAGGAAAATTTGCCTACAGGGTATGCAGTGCCCAACGAGGAAAGAAGGGAGAATCAGATCCACTGGGGATAGGAGTTACAAGTGGTTGTAAACTACCACATGTATTTTGGGAGCTGAACCCAAGTCCTCTATAAGAGTGATATGGATTCTTAATTGTTAAGCCATAAAAACACAAATTTACTATTCTTTTTTTCTTTGAGACAGGGTTTCTCTATATAACAGTTCTTCTGGCTGTCCGGAAACTCACTTTGTAGACCATGCTGGTCTCCAACTCACAAAGATCTGCCTGCCTCTAAGTTCTGAGTGCTGGGTTAAAAGTGTAAGTCACCATACCTGGCTTTAAAATTTATTTTATTCATTCATTCTCGTTCATTCATTCATTTTGTTTTTTCAAGACGGGATTTCTCTGTAGCTTTGGAGCCTGTCCTGAAACTAGCTCTTGTAGACCAGGCTGGCCTCAAACTCACAGAGATCTGCCTGCCTCTGCCTCCTGGGTGCTGGGATTAAAGACATGTGCCACCACCACCATGCAAGATTTTATTTTTTATAAGAATATTTAGCCTACATGTACATCTGTGTACTACATGCATGCTAGTGTCCTCAGAAGTCACAAGAGGACATTGGAGTCCCTGGAACTAGTTATAGATAGTTGTGAGACACCATGTGGGTGCCAGGGATTGAGACTGAGTCCTCTACAAGAGCAACAAGTGCTCTAAACCACTGTGCCATCTCTCAAGCCCCAATACAAGTTGTCTTAAGAACTAATGTTAAAGATTGGAGAAGGTTAGCAGCAGCAATGAAGGCATGGAACACTTCTATAAATAGCCCTAACCTTAAAGCATTAAGATCAGGACAGATCCTATGGGAAATATTTATTTTCATAGAAGTGTAACAAGTCTGAGAGAGCAAGCTAAATGAGGTGTGCGAGTGAGTATTTAAAGGTGAAGTATACCAATGACTTACTCTGAAATGCCTCAGAAAGAAATGAAAACGAATTAACGAGTAAGACATGGCTGGTGTATAATCAAGGTTCAGTTCAACTCTTCTGTGCAATTGAATATTTCTGTAACAGACTATTTAAAGGGGTACAGGAGAACATGAAAAATAAGTGTTTAATCTTTCTCTTATGGGAAAAACACCGTCGCAAAAAGAAGTATCCCTTGTTCCAGCAAGTGTTAGGCTCTCATCTCCATCTTTAAAGGGAAGAAATGAAATCTCTGCTTAGAAGAGCAGAATCTTCCAAATGTACTTAAGCAGGAAGACATAACTGGCAGATAATACTAACACTAAACTGTCTTCTTGAAGGGGATCTCCTATAGCTCCTTCCCTTTACCTAACCTGCTAAACAAACAAAGCAGTGAACACCATGAGATGCTTAAAAGCAAGGGGCTTTACACTGGTGCAAACATGCAGGTTATTATCTGCAGCCAAGAAACAATTATCTGTTGTTTCTAAGAAACGATGAAACCCAAAGCCTCTGAAACACACAGGACTCAACAGCAGCTATTTTTAGTTCATTATCACGACTTCAGAACTATCCTATAAACATCTAAGAAAGCCTACTTTGGATCCAATTCACTAGATATTCACTCACTCCTCTGCAGCTGAGCCTTGGGCCACATCACAGAGGCCATCACTCAAATCTAGCAGGCCTTTCTAAAATTTGCAATCCGTCTGCATTAAAGCACCACTGACTTGAAGAGTCCCTGGGCCCCCTCCAGAATTAAGAAAGTAAAGGAATGTTCAGTTCAGGCATAGATACAGGCAGAGATTCTCTCTTATTGCTACAGCAAGAAATAAAAACTTTCTTCAGTGTCCTCTTATGTCTAAGGAAGGTTTTAAGCTACAACATTTTTGAAGGAAGGACAATTCTTTTCTGTGAACTGGTGGGGAAAGGAACACTCCTCATTCACAATTTAAAAGTATTTGTATAAAATCAGTGGCATCGTTACCTTTTTTTACTAAATAGTCACAACAAAATACTCAGAGACTTCACTTAATTTGGTAATTAAAATCTACCTTTAATAAATTTACCTTAAAAATTTTAAGGTAAAATGGAGACATGTTCCTTTTTATGACTGCATCAACACTGAAGAGCTCATTTCATCAGAATATGTTGATGACCTAACATGTTTCTTATGTTTTATTAGTCACCAGAAAACATTAAAAAATAATCTAAAGATAAAAAAGATAACCTCGGACTGGAGAGGTGGCTCAGGGGTTAAGAG